GCTGAATCACTAAGGATAATCCTTATTAAAAAGTTACTTTATCATAGTCACTACATCTATGGAGAGTTTCAAGTCACTGGTAGTAAATCCTTAGACCACTTGAACTGTGTTATAAATGCTTATCTATTCTACGCCGTCTATCTACTATGATACAAAGAATTGTGCTGCTCTGAACTATACTGATATAACAATAATGGTAACACTTGCTCATTTGCAACTGCTCCCAAGCTACAGCATCTTTTCTTCTATACGCACACTCAAGTAATCTAGTTGCAGCAAACAGTAAATTCAAGATTATTTCTCCTTATATAGATGTTTAAACTAAAAGCAATTATCTTTCAAATAATCTTTATTATTAAAATTATTATCTCCTCTTAGTGAGGAGAGGGGGTGTTCACCAGTAATTAGGTATTCATGAAACTCAGATACCAGCAGATACTTATATGTATAATTAAGAAACATACATGAAGAACATGCAAGTTTCCTTCAACTGCACTGTCAAGGAGGTCCTGCAGGCATCACTCATGCCTCATCTCTATCTGCTCTCACTAACAGCAGAACAGGGGAGAAAAGAATACCCACAGTAAATGTCATATAAGACCACAACTAAGCCACATCCTTTCATGAGGACATAATCCTGTAGCAAAGGTGCATTAGCAAGTATATGTTAAAAAAAAATTATAGAAGGAAATTATTGCAGACCTTGGCATCCCAGTCTTTATTAAGATAATATATACACGTAACACATCTTCCGTCTCCATTTGGATTATCAACATGGCGCACGTATCCTGTTCCGTTGCCTGGATAACAAGCCACCATAGCCTAGAGTCAAAGAATCAAATGAGATAATTAATGTTATTTGTGGGGGGAAAAGCTATACATTTAATCTATATTAATTCCTATGCAATTCCTACATGAGGAACATAAAAAATAAATTAGTAATAATGGGAAAATAGGGTTTTCAATCTGTGTTTTCTTTCTAGTTAAAAGACTGGTTTGAACACAAGCAGATGTCTACAACAAAGGCACAAAACACACTGGGAGGAACACTGTTAAGGTGGGGCTGCTCCCATGTTGTGACTAATCCTTCAGACTTCCCTCCCTTGAATGAAATGCAAGAGAGGAAGAATGTCTTGTGTACAGTTAGCGTGAGCTTCTCCTCCTGTTAAGAATACTCCTTTTCCAGACCCAAGTTCACAAACCGTTATCTTTTTGTCCTTTTTTCCCCACCCTCATGTTTCCAACGCAAAGAATTCCTCCTCAAAAAGTAGCATCAAACTTTATTTTTAGGAAACTTTTTAGACAAGGCCATTAGCCCATCTTACTCAATCACTCCAAGTGCATTCTTGGGCTGGTGTTTTGTCCTGTACATAGGAGGTCTTTGAACCTTTGTTGAAACAAGCCTACACATACAACAAAAACATCCTTTTCAGTCAAGAAGTGAGAAACTGAAAACAGACACCGAACAGTAATCTGCAATAACCTCCTGACATCAAAAGACTCCCAGTACAGTAATATATTTAGCTTCCCATGTTGCACTTAGCCCAGCTGACTTGAAAGACCACTAGAAGGCGGGTTGGTTTCTGAGCCCTCAAGACATGCGGATGTGCGTGTGAAACAAATCAGTCATCTTGCCAACTGATGGCCTCATTAATTTTGTTACCTATCAGTTCACACGGCAAATTTGTCACATGGCACATCCCCGTATCTTGCGCGTTTGCTGCAAGTAGTCATCATTTCAAGTTTTTGACAGAGATCAGAACAAACTTTTCCAGGACAAGTCATTCACTGCCACAACAGTACTTGGATGTCTGCAGTGCCAAAACTTTTTGCAGCAAGTATATTAAAACAAAAAGGCAAAACAGTGAGTTTCTGCTAGCAATCCAATACACCTCTAACCTCAATGGATGTCTACTGTCTCTAGTTAAGTTAGAACTTAAAAGTCAGGCCCCCAGGTTTTCAGACTTCAACCATACTGCTTTTACGTAAACTATCAAAAATAGCTTTCCCATCTAAGTGTTAACTGCGAAAATGTAACCTATCAGATTACAAGTAATTCAAATCAATTACTTCAGTGCATTTTTTCTTTATATTGATATATTTTTCCTTTTTTTCCCAGTGTTACAAATAAAGCTTTCCACAGTTTACATTACTTGCAAGAAACTGTGCTTTGAGTAAGCTGAGAAATAAAGTACTGTGCAGCTCAATCAGTAAAATATTTGGATATCACATGTAAGCAGAATGGATTTTGCTATAGCAGCAAACATTTTCAAAGAGTTATTTCCATATATACTCTAAGGGAAGGAGCACTTTCTGGTAGTTCTTTCTAGGCTGAAATGAGAATATAATGTTTGCCAAAAAGTAGCACTGTGGTTATATTAAAAAAAAAGAAATCCAAACTGTATTCACAAGACAAAGTTACTACATGGGTACAGCGCCGCACAAAAAGTACTCAAAACTACAAAATGCAAATATACTTGTAATTTTGAGATTAGGTACTTCACCTTCTTAATCTGTTTACTCTAATCATAGCTTAGTCATCATGACAGGTCTAGTGTTATGTAAACATATTACATGTATCAAGTAATGTGACCTAATATTTGGCAAAGTCATTACTTATCAGTTTTGCTGCAGGAAGATAAACCCACAAAAGCCAAAACACTGAGTTAAAGACACCAAATAACGTAATAAGGGTTCTGTAATTTCCTTTCTTATGGAGAAAAAAAAGGAACAAAACAAAAGCAAAGCTGGGCTGGAAGAGGAAGAGACTTGGTTTCCACTGAAAAGCAGCCTTCTTGAAAACAGTCCCACGTACCACATAGTCCCTATCAAGCTCTCACAGAACATGAATAGTCCTGAAAGCAGAGCCAGATCTAATCCTGTATCAGCATTCCTAATAACAGGAAAGTTTTAATTTAAGGGGTTTTGCTGAGAAGTAACATGCAAGTTAAACCCTGATGTTAACTGTTGCTCAACATCTGCATTAAACAACTACTAAAACTCATTCAGAGTGAAGAAAACTCTGAGATCGAGAGAGTAATGTCAGTTCTCACTGAAATCACGAGTTCAACTCAGAGATGAAAAGGTCTTCAGGCACGTAAGTGACCTAGATATCTGTCACTGAGCCAAAAATCCTACTGTTAAAAGCTTAGGACAGTTCCCAGATCTCTCTGGCCAATACAGTGTTTTCTTCCAAGCACATATTTAGTTGCTGCCTGTTCCTCAAAAAGATGATTTTGCAGTTAGAGAAGCATAAATTTGCATCCTATTGCCATAGCCTCCTTTATAAGGTACTGAAATGTGTACTTGTTCTCTTTGCTTAAGGGAAACCAAGAGAGGAATCTCTAACATCAGTGTTGCTTATGAAAAAGAGGACCAGCAGCACTTTTTGGAAAGTCTGGGGAAACATCAGTTATCATCAACTTACCATAAAGAACTGCCACATTAGAGTTTAAAATACTGTCAATGTTTTAAAAAAAAAAACAAAACAAACTCTGTTTTTTTATTTTAGAGCCTGCAACTTTTGCTATCACCAATTGCAAGAGACGAGAAACAGTCTTGCTGTGATAACTTATTAATAATAAGTATTTATTATAACAGTAAGAATGACTCAGCCTTTAAAAGCAAATTGGAAAGCAAACAAATCTGCCAATCAGCCAGTGCAACATAATATCCATTGCTTTTGCCTGTTAGTGTGACAATGCCCTCTCAATTGAGCTGTGATAAGGAAAGCCACAAAACCTAACAATTTACAAGATACATGAAATGCGCTATGTGAAGCCAGTTTGTGTCAAACCGTCACGTACTGCAAGATTACTCACATCTCTCTTCTGTGGGAAAGGACAGAAAAGTGACCCAGGAAAATAATGAAATCACTTTGTTGGTGGTGCTTTACCATTTTACGGTATACATAAGCAAGCAAATAAATATATCTATGGTGGGCTAAGAGAAAATTTTGGTTTTGTGGCTTTTAAAAAACAAACAAGCACGCCCCTAATCACTGTTAATGGCAGTCAAGAGAGCTGGGCATTTGAGACCAAAATGTCCAAGATTCTTTAGTATTTTAGATTCTGAACAATGAAGTTGTTAGCTCTCCAAAACACAGAGCTACCTATCTCATCAGTTCTCTCATAAAAGTAATTGATGAATTCAACTCAATGCATTACTCGCATTTTCTTAATAAGACAAGGAGGTCTCCCCTTTTTGTGACTCTCAGGCATCACAATTTTAAAACATACAGTAATCTTAATTTATGCAAAGAATATATTTAAGTCACACACTGGATTTGTATACCCACTGGATTGCTTTGCAAACACTTAATATTAACCTTCTTTATAACCCGACAGCATACTCCTTTAGTCTGAACACTCATGGAGAGCACATGAGCACTGTCCTAAAATACCCTCTGGAATTCATGAGTAATCCAGAAAGCATGAAGACGCCCTCCCCTCTCTGCAATCCGCCCAGCTTGTGTCTACCAAACCACAGCACTGCACACTTCAGAAGATGCTGATCACTCGTTCACATACAGATGTTCTATTTGTAAATATTTAACTCTGGAAAATTAACTTGAGCAACGTTAAGTTATTAATTGAATGCATAGATTATTTGCTAAGCATAAGCATCCTCGGTGTGTCAGCCACTATTCTAATTAGCAATTAAACGCACAAAAGTAACACCAGAGACCATAGTCTGATCCATAGTCCATAGTTTTGTTCCCAATGTAAAGAGGCATCAGCTAAGGCACAACTCTGGGAGCACAGCATAGCAGTGCACAGAAAACACCAGTTCAAATGGGAGTTGCTTTGATCCCCCTTCGCAGAGAAGTATGACAGCCTCATCCACTCATAAAGAAGGAAAACTCGCAGGTAAAAAGACTGAAGCTTTTTCCTCTATCCTCTCCCCTTTCTCTCACAGATGGATTCCTACAAGTTTATGTATTGCTCCTTAAGAAAAAGAATAGCAGACTCTTAGGAAAGAGGAAAAATACCAGTTACACGACAACACAAAATTCCTTCAGGGGAGGGGGAACAAAAACCCAAACCACAAACATAAAATGGAGAGAGGACATGTGTTCTGTCATATTAATTTATTAATGTGAAATAACTTTATTGTTCAGCTCAGATTAAAGAAAGCTGCATCAGTCAAGAAGATGTCACTTTTGCTGTTTGCTGAAGGAACTGCAAATCTCAGGGAGCAAAACAAGATGTCTAAATGCAAGATCAATGACTTCCTACCAAAATTTATCAGATGCTATCACGAAGACTTCACTGGAAATTCTCAGCATGGGTCATCTGACAGATTATTCAAAGAAAAAAAAAACAACAAAAAACAACCCAACAACCAAAAACCACCACCAGAATTAAGAACCAAAGGAAAGACAAAAACACCAACAAACCTGACCTGTCCCTGTCTGGCCCATCTGTAATGTATATCCAGTTCAAGAATTTGTTCATCCCTGACAAACAACAGTCCCGAGGAAATGTAACTCGGTTTAAGGACATGTCACTAAGATTTTCCACAAGGTGTACAAAGCAACAATCAAAATGAAGGAAAAAAAGACTGTAATGGTTCTACCTTGCACAAGTGTAGTCAAGATGACTGACTTTAGCATGCTAATGTGGTACAACTTGGCTTGGATTCAGTCTCCTGCAGATTCTTCACAGAGATGCAAATGCACAACATAAAATAAGTATCAACTGAGGAGAAACTTCTGTCAGCCTTACCCAAAACAGAGGAAGCTGAAAGGAGCAAAATAAAATATTTGAGACACAGCTAATCAAAGTATTTCAATACTAACTTCCATCTGAATAAAACTTTGT